AGCTAGAAGAGGAAAAATAAATAGGTTCAAGCTCACCAGCTGCTCCTTGGAAACCCTATACAGGGTCACTATGGGTCAGAAACGACTCGATGGCACTTCACAACAACTCTTAATTATCTGGGCAGTAATGGCTCATTGGTAGAATTCTTGTGTCCCATGAAGGACACCCATGTTTGAATTCTGGCCAGTGTACCTGGTTCAGTCACCTGTCATTGGAGGCTTGCATACTGTTGTTATGCAAAACAGGTTTCAGTGGAGCTCCCAGATTAAGACAGAATAAGAAAAAAGTCCTAGAGATCTACTTCCAAAAACCAGCCCATGAAAAAGTATGGACCACATGACCCAATTAGTAGTCAATCAGGATATGATGCAAAAGTAGGCAAGAGTTTAGTTCCGTTGTGTATGCAGTGCCCATGAGTTGGGGATCAACTCAACAGCAACAATACTTAAATATATGATTCTAGGTGTGACACTGTAGGATAAGCACTAGACTGATAACCACAAGGTAGAGTAGATGGTTCAAACATACCAACCACTCCTCAGAAACACTATCCAGGGGCACTATGAGTCAGAACTGACTGGATAGCATTTAACAACAACAACATCATAAACACAAAATAAGATAACCCATATATTTGTAAATGTGATTAATAAAAGCAACTATTTTGTTACGAATTGGGCTGTGAACCGCAAGGTCAGCAGTTCGAAACTACCAGCTGCTCCATGGGAGAAAGATGAGGCGTTCTGCTCCCGTAAAGCTTAACAGCTTCAGAAACCCTGTGCAGGGTCACTATGAGTCAGAACCGACTCCACTGCACATAACAACAACAACAACAATTACATCATTAGCAGGTTCAATAGCAAAGATGTCACTTTGAGGACTAAGGTGCATCTGACCCAAGTCATGGTATTTTCAATAACCTCATATGTATATGAAAGTTGTCCAATGAATAAGGAAGACTGTAGAAGAATTTATACATTTGAATTATGATGCTGGAGAATACTGAAAGTACCATCCATGGCTTGCCAGAAGAACAAGCAAGTCTGTGTTGGAAGAAGTACAGCAAGGATGTTCCTTAGAGGCAGAGACGATGACATGGAGAGTTGGAGTAGCTGGGGATTTTAGACACAGAGAGGGAGAGGGGCTGCGTGCTGATGACTGGGAAGCAGGCTTATAGCGTATACCCTTTGGTTGGTTGATGATGCATGGAGGGGGATTGTAACCACGGCAATGAAACAATATATGATAGGATGAATGTAAAATTAATGTTCTCTCATGTAAACTATCACATAATTCACAATAAAACATTAAAAAAAAGAATGCTCCTTAGAAGCCAGGATGGCAAAAGTTCGGACGTAATATATTCATACTTCAGACGTAACATATCAGGAGGAACCTGGAGAAGGACATCATGCTTGCTAACATGGAGGGTTGCTGAAAAAAGGAAAACTGCCAACTATATAGACTGGCACAGTGGCATCAGCAACGGGCTCAAGTGTAGCAACCATTGTAAGAAAGGTGCAGGACCAGACAGTGTTTCGTTCTGTTGTGCAGAAGATCAACATGAGTTGGGACCAAGTCGACAGCACCTGACAACAACATCATTAACAATATATAGCAAATTAATAAGTAGTTACGGATCACTGGTGGCACTGTGGGTTACACACTGGGCTGTTAACCACAAGGTCAGTGGGTCAAAGCCACAGGCTGCTTGGTGGGAGAAAGATGAAGATGTCTGCTCCCATAAAGATTTACAGTCTCAGAAACACTGTAGAGGGTCGCAATGAGTCAGGATCAACTCCACAGCAGTGCGCTTAATAAGTTGTTGTCTTGAAAAACTTGCACAAAAAATTATATTTATATACACATATCCTTTCCTCCCACAGCACTCTCTACTCAGCTGGGTTGGATAATTTGTTGTAATGACCACAAAACTCCAAACACCATACTGACAATTATGGGTTTATTATGGACGTTAACGGGTTACAATGCAGGGTGAGGAAATACTAAACTGTTGCAATCAAAACAGCCTCTCCTCAGCCATGTCCACAGGCAGGCCTCTCTCTGCCCGACAGGGCACACGCTTTCACCATAAGCCTCAGCCTGAAGGCACTCAGTTCTAGCTCTGTAGGTCAGCAAACTTAGCTCCCCCAGAGTGGAAGTATCCACTCTGCAAACGTGCCTGCTTTCTTCCCAAAGTCACTCAGCTTTACTTGCTCCATGACCTGGGATGTCCACTACTCTGTCCACTAGTCATGTGGTGACTCTTGGTTCTACTGCTATTGCCCCTCTGTCACTCTTGTATTGCCAGTGTTCTGTCACTAGGTTGAGGAGGTTCAAGGGACATGGATCTGAGTTCAAAGGTCACATTCCACTCCTGGCTCTTCTGTGATAGCAGTGAGAGCTCCCTTCCTGTTTCTGAGATGGCTCACTTTAAACCCACCTTAGAGTTCTACGTTTTTGCAATCAAAATTGACACTGTTAACCACTCAAAACTGAATCATGAAGTCTTATAAACATTTCTCCCATCTTCTCTTACACAGACCAAGACACAAATGCTGTTTGGTGGGAGTTACAAACACTATGAGTAGAAGAGCCATATGAAGGAATTCACTGTACTGCAAATTTCATCTAAGTAGTTTTACATATGAAACTATCAAATAAAACAAAAGACTTTCAAATTGCTGTGTATAATTTTAATTATTTAAGTACTTATCACTAACCTACCATGTGCCAGATACAGTACTTACAGAAATGTTCAATTTTTCCTACTTCTAACATTCTTCCATTCAATATTTCATTCAATAATTGAGGCTATAAATTTCAGGCAAATATAAAACAAATTGCCACTTTACCAGGACTTTCGGTGTGGCTCTGTAGGATAAGCACTTGACTGCTAACCACAAGGTCGGCAGTTCAAACCCACCAGATGCTCTGTGGAAATCCTATACAGGGTCACTATGAGTCAGAACCAACTTGATGGCACTTAACAAGAACAAGAAGTGGGCTCTCAAGGCAAAGCCTTGGAACCTAAAAGTCTATAAACTACAAAAATCCAAAGCCCAAACTCATTAATCAAGTCGATTCCAACTCATAGGGACCCTATGTAGGGTTTCTGAAGCTGTAAATTTTTGTTGTTACTGTTGTTGTTAAGCTCTATCCACTTGTTTCTGACTCATAGAGACCATGTATAGAGGCTGTGAATCTTTATCGGAGCAAAGAGCCTTGCTGGTGTTTCGAACCATCAATCTATGGTTAGCAATATGCTTATCCTACAAAGCCACAATGTTCCTGGTAAATGTTTATAGGAGCAAAAATCGTCCTCTTTTTCCTATGGTAGATTTGAATTGCTGACTTTGCATTTAGCAGCCCAACCAGTAACACACTATGCCACCACGCGCCTCTTTAAAAGAGCTCTGGTAGCGTAGTGGTTGCCAGTCAGGCTGCTAACCTCAAGGTCAGCAGTTCAAAATTACCAGCTGTTCCACAGGAGAAAGATGAGGCTTTCTGCTCCCATAAAGATTTACAGCCTCAGAAACCCTGTACAGGGTCACTATGAGTCAGAACCGACTCCACGGCACATAACCACCACCACCACCACCACTTGACAATCCTTATAATAAGCAGATCCATTAGTTGAACTTTAAAGAAATCTGTGTGAATTGCTGTTGTTGTTGTTAAATACTGTCAAGTCAATTCTGACCCACAGCTACCCTGTAAAGGGTTTCCGAGGAGCAGCTGGTGAGTGAGCTAGAACCACCAATCTTGCAGTTCAAACTGACTTTGCAGCCCAGTGCATTAACCCACAGCATCACACCATAACAGATGCCCAGAAGGACCAGTTAGATGGTGTGAGCATTTGGTCTCACCTTCACTACCTCCAAACCACTTTAAGTGGGCCATGAAACCAAATGAGAAGTATCCCTAATATTCTATTTCATGAATTATTAACTTTCCAGTAGTGTGAATCAAATTTGCTTACAGGATCAAATAGGAGTAACCAGCTAATTCACTATGTAATTATACCCAGAATGCAGTGTGATAGAAACTACATATCATACAAAAATGATGGCTTCAAAAATGGGGGGGGGGGGAAGAGAATTAACAGATAATAGAATATTCCCATAAACTTTTAGAAGCCCCACCCCTGGAGCATATACATGCATACAGCTAGTAAACATCATCTTTGAATTTGGTGTTGTTTAGTGCCATCAAGTCTGTTCCCACTCATAACAGTTTCTAAGGAGCAGCCAGTGGTTTTGAACCACCTACCTTTGAAGTCCTGGTGTGGCACTGTAAGATAAACATTGGAGTACAAGGTAGTTTTGAACTGCAAGGTCAGCAGTTCAAACTCACCATGTGTTCCACGGAAACCCTATACATGGCTGTTATGAGTCTGAAGTGACTTGATGACACTTAACAACCACCACCTTTGGTCTGCAGTACAGTGTTCATCCTACAGCACCACACCAGGAGCACCACCACTGGACAGTAAATTGTTTCTCAACACCGACCTTTATGAAATGACCATGAAGGCTGTAGGGACGAGAGAGATAAAGAATGATGGCTAGGGAATAAGGAAAAAACAAGTGGCTGCTTGGGGTGGCCCTGGACATAAGGACCAGGAGATAAGGGCAGATGAAATGGACAGGGCATGATAACTCTGGACCGACGTGCCTAGTGTGTTCCCTTTGTTTTTGTTAAGTGCCAGTGCCCTAGAGTCGGTTCCCACTCATGTATACCCTGTATAGGGTTTCCAAGAAGTGGACTTGAACGACGGACCTTGCGAATCAAGCATTAATTCACAGCGCCACACTTAAGGACCTTATAAAAAATATAAAACCAACAAGTATGCTCAAGACATTTCACTGAGTAGGTGAGGAGACCCTGGGAAGAAAAGACAAGCTGCAAGCCTGTAAGAAGGGAGAATAGCTAGGGAAGGTCGCTGATTGGCAATGCAATCCTTAACCTGGAGGTCAGGAACGCAGGGCGCACTCACCAGTGAAGACGTTCTGGAAACCATCCGCAGCCGCCTGAGCCCCAGAGGACTTGCCAGCCAGAGGTGGGGTCACCTGGCTGATGCTATCCACAGTCGCCCCGCGCTCCAGCAGTTTTACAGAGCCTCCCACCCTGGGCTCACAAGCACCCAGCTCCTCTGTCCAGTCGGCAGAGCGGCTGAGGCCACCCCCGAGGCCGCCATCGGCCCGGTGTTTTTTGGTCTGAACAGCCGCAGAACCCAAAACAGATTTCGCTCCCCGGCTCAGGGAGGTCTCCAGTCGCCTTTTGATCCTAGGGCTCTGGTTAGGGGACTGTGACGGGGAGTGGTTGGGAGAGCTGAGTTGCCTTGTGGTAGTCTTGATGTAACAGGGGGTGATGAGCGGGTAAGGCTTAAAGCAGCGCAAGCTTGGTACCGGGCTGCCCGGGAGAGAAGCTGCCGTGGGCACCTCAGGCCTTGCCGCCCCCTCCCTGGGCTCTTGATCCAACCTCTGCGAGGACTCACCGAGTTCCTGGCCCCAATCCTCCCCCGGAGAGCCTCGGGGGGCATCCTCAAAGGCATCTTCCTCCCCTTCCTCATCCGTGTCCACAGCCCCTTGGACTGGGGCTTCAATTGCGCCCTCTCCCAGCCGGGTCTCGGGAAACTGGAAGGCCTTGGGGGAGGATAAGTCTGCAGCCGCCGGCTGGGTCACGGGAAGGAAGGGAGCTTCTAAGTGGACGCAGTCGCTGGGGGGCAGCGGCTGTTCAGGAGCCCTGCGCTCCACGGCCGGGCGCTCGGGTACGTCAGAAAGAGTGGACAGAGCCTGCTCGGTGTCCGGACTGCCTAGGGCCTCCCCAGCCCCGCCACTCGCCCCCAGCAGGAATTGGTCCAGGCCCAGGAAGGCCCCAGGCTGAGGGGAGGTGGCGGTGGAAGCTGCTGCCACCGAGCCTTGCAGTAGTTGTTCCTGCTGCTGCTGTTGCAAGCGGATAGCCTGCTGGATGTCGGAGAGCAAATCCTCTTGCTCCGTAGCTGAATGAAAGCTATAAATGTCCGTGTCTGAGCCTGAACTGGTCCTTTGTCCGTTCTGCGCCCCAGCCACAGTTTCCAGATCCTCAGTGACCGCCCGGACGCCGACCCCAGCTGCGGCTGGCCCAGGATCACCTGGACAGGTCACCTCGAAAGGGTCCGCACACTCGGTATCCGACAAGCCCGTTTCGTCAGCTGAGAGACTGAGGTCTGGTGTCTTGGTGACCAGCGAGTGAGCGCTGTCCAGCTCTCCAGTCTGCAGGGCCTGGGAGTCCAGCACATCCTCACGAGAGCCACTAGCGGATTTGCCCTTGGACAGATTCTTCCTGATCCGCAGGTTGGAAAAAACCGATGCTCTGGAGTCCGACTTGCTCTTCTTCTTCCCCGGCTCGCCGCTGCCTCCTCCCGCCTTGCCATGTTTGCCCAGCGCCTTCTTGCCTCCACTCCCCTTCTTTATGGCTTCCACATCCCTGGGCCCAACAGCATCCTCAGAGCCGCCGCCTCCTTCAAGCGAGGCATCACCTGCACTCCTCTTCAGCTTCCCATCTTGGTTCCCCATGTTGCAAGCCCGGTGCTGCGCCGCGCCTCTGGCAGTCAGGCCATGTCGGCCCTTCTCAGTCCTTGGTCCTGGTGGGGGAGGTGGCGCCTGGGCAAATCAGGATGCAGGGCAAGCGGCTGCGAGCGGAAACCAATGCGCTCCCAGCTGGCCCTGTTCGCATCTGCCTCGGCCGCCGCTTTGCATAACGCGCTGGGGCTCCCGCTGCTGGCGGTGGTGCAGTCGCCGCTGCTTGCCGCCCCAGGCTGGTGTGGCGCGAACATGCTCAGTGCAGCAACTGGCGCCGCAGACGGCTCCCACCAATGGCTGCGCAGGACCCAGAGTCAGCCCTGGCCTCTTTCCAGGCGGGGCGCCACCGCCCCCTTCGCCTCTGCGCAGTTCCTTAGGAAACAAGGACATGGAAAACGTTTTCTCTGTCTTGGTGTCTTTAATCTCCACAGTGTGACTCGAATGCATTGTTTCTGCTCAAAGGGGTCGTCTGCTATAAGATGCACACAACTTCAAAGTTCCCGGACTTGCCATGAGAAAAGTTTTAAAAGAAAAAAATTAACAAGAAGATATTGAAGTCAAATTCCGATTTATAGGTGTTCTAATATCACATACCAGGAGCTCTGGTAGCTAGCGTAGTGGTTCCAAATCGGGCTGCGAACCTTAAGATCAGCAGTTCGAAACTACCAGCCGCTCCGCGGGAGAAAGATGAGGCTTTCTGCTTCCGTAAAGATTTACAGCCTTGGAAAGCCTGTCCAGGGTCGCTATGGGTCGGAACCGACTCCACGGCACTTAACAACAACAACAATATCACATACACACCAACCTACATGCAGAAGCTTGGTTCTCAAGCAGGTATTTGGTGGATGACTTGAGTGTTCTGTTTCTTTAATAACCGATCATCTCATCAAAGACTGTTGATGTACTTTCACACGGTTTGGGAGAGATATTGCTGTTTTTATGATTTATGCAGACGTCGCATTTTCAAAAGTTCGTTTTTTCAAATTCCACAGAAAAAGAAGAGATGAGGGAAATAGAAAATATTAGATTAGAGTTGATTAAAATGCTAATCTCCAAAATTCCATGTATTTACCATATAAATGACGTATTATTTGCATTCAAAAAGATGCATATACTCTAACTCTCAGGAGGTCAAACTCATCAATATTAAATAAGTCTCTATTGTTGCTGCCAATAAAAAAGGAAAAACCTTTGGTGCATACACATGAAATCAGATTGTAAACTGTAAACAAAAACTTTCTGAAGAAAACCCTTGTAGGCAAACTTTTTCTTGCCTTCACTATAAAAGATTGCAAAAGTTTACTATAGTGAAACATCCTTAACATTCTGGCTTTAATATTAACGTATACAATTTTCCTCACTGAAATTTTTCTCATTGTAAGGACTTAAACGCACTTAACAACAACAACAATAAAGGGAGAGTGGTTCACAGGATATCTCTGTGGGGGAGCAGAAAGCCCTTCTGCTCTAGCAAAGATTTAAAGCCTTTGAAAAACTGTATGGGGCACTATGATTTGTAACCAACTCCAAGGCACTGAACAACAGCAACAACATGGTTTTAAAGCATTTTACACGCATCATGGTTATAGTGTTTAAATTAGAAATTCATTGTTAACCACTTTGATTGCATGGAATAGCTATCTAACATGTTAATATTTCTAATGTAAACCCAATACAGGAAAAACTACTAGATTATTATGTGATGAACAAAAGTGTGTGGTGTTCCTTTGCAAGTTATGAACCAATGTCTTAAACCTCCCTCTTTAAACTTCTTTATTTAAAGGAAGAAAAAAAAAATCGAGCCTATAAGTCTTTGATGTATGTATAGGCATACTTTACAAGTTTTTTTTTTCAAACTACACTCTTATAACTTGAGGGTAGGTGGCCAATTGTCCTTAGTGGCTCTTTCTAGTAAATTGTTTGGAGAGATTTCTCTTTAATAACTTTACCAGGAGACTCCACTGCACTTAATGGGTGATCCCCGGAGTACTTGAAAACCCTTTGTGTCCACTCTTTCACTGATTTTTTTTGCTTCTTTGAATATTGATGCGGTTTTTTATCTGAATTTTTTTTTAACACAACATCTTTCATTCTGAATTATTTGCTTCCTTAATATTGTGTTCTGTGATATAGTCTAGAATTCAGAAGATGAATAAGGTGAAGGAGGGGCAGAGGGAGAAAGAATTGTTAATTTGTTCACATTCTTTGAACGTGAAACAATAGGTGACAATTGGGTAGTAGGACAAAGTTTACAAAGCTCTACCACGTCTTTCTCAGGCTGAGTCACTGGTCCAAACCACACACCTTCTGATTAGCGACTCACTTTTTAACCAAATCATCACCTGAGTCCTTCTTGCCAAACGCAGACTGGTACCATCAATGGATTTTAGTTAATAAATAAATTCTGACTCAAAAACTGAGATTTGGCAAAGGTAGTAGAGGCCATACTTGATTCTTCAAACTTATACCACAAATTCTTTGTAACAAGCAAAACTACATAGTTTATTCAGTTCTGCACTAGTGAGGGAAGCTATCATGAAAACAATCTACAAACATTGCTAAATCGTTCCTTGGCATTTATTAAGTGTTGATCCTCTCAAAAATGTCTTAGTTGCAAAATGTATTCAACAAATAGAGTTCCTACTTCAGACCTGGCCACATATTAGGTATTGGATGCAAAAGAGAAATATGCAAATAAGAGAAATATGCAAATAAGAACAGTCTCTATTTTCAAAGGATTGTTGTTCGTTGTGAAAAGTTGCTGAGTCCATTCCAACTCATAGCAACACTATATAGGGCTTCTAAGGCTATAAATCTTTGCAGGACCAGAAAGTCTCATCTTTCTCCCAAAGAGCACTGGTGGGCTTAAACCACCAACCTTGTGATTCACACTCCAGTGCTTATCCTAAAGTGCCACAGAGTTCCCTGAATCTTCTGTTTTGTCTTTCAGACCTTGCTGAGCAACTCTCTATATCAGCAATGATTTTATCAAAGTTGTTGTTGAGTTTAAAAGCAGTATTATTTCATTTGATGGACTTAAAATAATAGCTATCTGTAACACTGAGTGCAACGCTGTAGGATAAAACACTGGACCTCAAGGTCCCTTTGAACCACGAAGCTGGTGGTTCAAACACACCAGCCACTCCTTGGAAACCCTATACATGGTGGCTATGAGTTGGAACTGACTCAATGGCACTGAACAACAGTCACATATTACTGACCCAAGCCATGGTATTTTCAATAACCTCATATGCATGTGAAAGTTAGACAGTGAATAAGGAAGACCATAGAAGAATTGATGCATTTGAGTTATGG